GTGACAAAGTTGAAACAAGAATTCAGGTTTGCCCTTTAACTTCAATACTGACTTCAGTGTCACCTGGTATACGTGATGTAGACTAGGAGTAAAAGAATTAACCTGGGGCTAGGCTGTCAAGAACCCGGTTGCCATGGAGATAGAACCTTGAAAAACTAGGAAGGAAAAGAAGCCATAGATAAGTCCAGCCCTAAATTAGATGAGAAAATTATTTGCTCTAAAGGCAGAAAGAAACAATTTCTCCCCTGCATCTCCATTTGGACAATCCTCTTGTTGACTTGTGGGGGGTGAGGCAGTGGACAGGAGGTGGCAGGCACCTAAGGGAGCCGTCAATGGCATCCAGCATTAGGACAATGCGCAAACAAGATGCAGGGGATGGCCAGTACACCTAGACTACAGAACCCCAAAGGAGAGCCTCGACATAGAAACCACAGCAGCTAAATGGAACCCTCCAAACGATGGGCAGTTGCTCAAAATTCTGAGCCATATATATAATGAGAAGACACCAGACGGGACCAGACACCTGCCTGGGCCGTCTAGGGGACTCAAAGCAAGGCCCACCACCGTTGCCCACTATGGACTGTGCAAATGAAGCCTGCAAGGAAGGAGCACAAAAACTGTTTAAGGACAGCCGAAACAATGCTCCTGCTAGGCCTAGGAGATGCGAACTTTCAGGAATACGGGGCGTGGTGGCTACTATAGTGGCTCAGCGCGCTCACTGGAAGCAGCGGAGTGGCAGTGAAGGAGGCAGCCCGCCCCAGCCCCAGCCCCAGCCCCAGCCCCAGCCCCAGCCCTACGCCCTCACAGGCCCACTGACACACTGCACCTCGGCGCGAAGCCCAGCCGACCGACGGACAGAGGGCGCCTCGGCACGGAGGACTGCCCGCAGCACCTGCCCCGAGACGCCGCCGCGGAGGCCGCGGGGGCGGAAGTGCGTCACCGCCCTTCCAACCCTGGAGCCCGCGCACGCTCTAGCACGCCGGAGGCCGTCCGAGCGTCTCGTTGGTCCTTTCAAACCTCAGCCCCGCTGCGTGGCTCTGCGCCCCCGTACTGCGGAGCTGCGGCGTGCTCCGGGTCTCCCGGGGCTCGCTCTGGGTCGCTGGCCCCCGGCCCCTCGGGAGGGTTGGCTGGGCAGCCGCAGAGGCCGACTTCCCTGGAGCAAGCTAGCCCCGCCCCAAGAGCCAGTAAGGACTGCCCCTGCATCGGGCCGCCCCTCTGTGGCTCCAGGTGGACTGGCCCAGCTGGCGTGGCCGGAGTTCTCTGCAGCGGATGGGTCAAAGCTCGAGTTCGCGCTGAGCCTGCAAGAGGCTGAGCTGTGCTGAAAACTTCCTCTCCTCCTCTGAGCCCTCCAGGCACACAGGCCTCAGAGTGCATGTGCACCCCATTCCTTGGAACCGCCGCCACATGCCTTGAGTAGCACATCCCACACGCTCCCCGACCTCCACGTCAAGCGCCCCCAGTATACACAGCGCGCGTTGACCTGGCTCTGTCTTCTTCCAGGCCTCCGCCTACTGACCACCTATTCAGTGTGGCCTTCCTGACTCCCCACCCCACTTCCCGCTCCCGCTTAACACGGTTGTGATTATATACTTCTTTGGGCAGGGATTTAATATATTTTCCTCTTCCTTAGACCATAAAATCCAAGAGGACAGGGACCACCGTGTCTATCTCATTCAAGGTTGGTGATAGCAGAAATTCTGGCAGTAAGTGCCCAGTAAATCTCTGTTGAATGGATAGTTGGGGCTGTTCCAAGGAAGGAGAGAATGAATAGATATAAGTGAGAATGAATGTAAGATGGTGCTGCAATCCATGAACAGTTGAGGAACAAAATTCAGCTCATGGAAATTGCCCACAATTTCTGACTGCAGATTCTAAGGCTGGGGAGAGTTGATGCTGAGTACTTGCTGTGGTTGCTCTAAGCAACCAGAGAGGACTTCCTGGAGGCAGAGTGTGCACACTTCCAGCTACCTGCAGAAGGGAGCTGCACTCAAGGCAGAGGGAATTCACTCAAGAGAGCATGTGGAAATCTGAGGAAACAAAGTCCCTGTTTGTGGGCCACTTAGGAAGTTAAAGAGTAACCTTGGGGTTATCAGACCTGGTTGAATTGAGTCTGAACCTCACCACATTGCAACAATGGTCTTAGAGTAAATAGCACAGCCTTCTGTTTCTTGGGCCTGCTGGAAAGGAGCTGGCCTGACACCTCACAGAAGGTCCCCAGTAAATGGTCAGCTCACCTCATTGAAGCCAGGACAGCTGTAAGAGAAAGTCTCCCACTGCATTCTGAACCTACATCCTTATTACAAAATAGAGCAATTGGTTTGAAGTCCTTATCATCTCTGGCATTTCATATTTGCAAGATTCCGAATAGATCCTTCTTGCAGGAGAACTTGTGCAAGCCCACTAGGCCATTGGGAGGGCCCCAAGCCCCAGGCTCAGGGACTGAAGTCTGAAAATCTGCTCAAATAGTCATCAGTCTGGGAGGGTCTATGAGTCGTTTAAAGATGAGGAAGGGAGAGAGATGAAACTTAATACGTGACTGGTGCATTTCTGCTGAATAAGCTAGTAAATTAATAAATAAATGAATGCATGAGAAAATAAGGGTGTGAATGGTCAATAAATCATGGGGGTAGAGTGGGATCAAAGAAAGCTTTGTAGACTTCATGCTGGAGCTGAGTCTGAAAAGATCAGAGCAAAGCATAAAGCTGGTGAGGGGACTGTGCCCATAGCTAGAGGCTTCTTTCTGGGCTTCCTTCTGGTACCACCCACTCCTCCCACATGACCAGGTTGCAGCAAGTGCTATATCTAAGAGAACATTTTGCTCCCAGGTACTGTCTCAACAGGGTTACTTAATACAACTTCCAGCCACAGGGCAAGGTTCAGGTGGACAGACCTTTTCATCCCCAACTTGTCCAAAGCCTCTCAGAAACTCTCTGACACACAGAGAGCAGTGTGTCCAGAGCTCAACCTGGAAGAGCACAGCCATGGTGTTCTGGGGTCTGGTGCTGGGAGTCCTGCTGGTGGTCACTATGGGGTGCCTGTATTTGCTTGGGGTGCTCCGGCAACGCAGGCCCCAGGAGCCCCCTCTGGATAAGGGCTCCATCCCCTGGCTGGGCCATGCCATGGCTTTCCGGAAGAATATGTTTGAATTCCTGAAGCACATGTGGGCCAAGCATGGAGATGTGTTCACAGTGCAGCTCGGAGGCCAGTACTTCACCTTTGTCATGGACCCCCTGTCCTTTGGCCCCATCCTCAAGGATGCACAGAGAAAACTAGACTTTGTGGAGTATGCAGAAAAACTGGTGCTAAAGGTATTTGGATACCACTCGGGGCAGGGAGACTACCGGATGATACACTCTGCCAGCACCAAATACCTCATGGGGGATGGCTTGGAGGATCTCAACAAAACCATGCTAGACAGCCTGTCCTTGGTTATGCTAGGACCCACAGGCCAGAGTCTGGATTCTAGCTGCTGGCACGAAGATGGCCTCTTCCACTTCTGCTACAATGTCTTGTTCAAGGCTGGCTACCTGAGCTTATTCGGCTATACCAAGGACCAGGAGCAGGACCTGAGACAGGCAGAGGAATTATTTGTTCAGTTCCGTAAGTTTGACCGCTTGTTCCCCAGATTTGTGTATTCCTTGCTGGGGCCCCAGGAGTGGCGAGAAGTGGGCCGGCTCCAGCGTCTCTTCCACAAGGCACTCTCTGTGAAGCACAACTTGGAAAAGAATGGCATAAGCCGCTGGATATCCTACATGCTTCAGTATCTGAGGGAGCGGGGAGTAGCCCCGGCCATGCAAGACAAGTTCAACTTCATGATGCTCTGGGCCTCCCAGGGGAACACGGGCCCGACCTCATTCTGGGCCCTCTTGTTCCTCCTAAAGCACCCGGAAGCCTTGCGGGCTGTGAGAGAGGAGGCCACCCAAGTCCTAGGGGAGGCCAGGCTGAAGGCCAGGCAGTCCTTTGACTTCAAGGTCAGCACCCTGCACCACACGCCAGTGCTGGACAGTGTGATGGAGGAGACTCTGCGGCTGGGGGCTGCACCCACCCTCCTCAGGGTGGTGCACAATGACCATATCCTGAAGATGGCCAGTGGACAGGAGTACCTGCTTCGAAGTGGAGATATTGTGGCCCTCTTCCCCTATCTTTCAGTGCACATGGATCCTGACATCCACCCGGAACCCACCACCTTCAAGTATGATCGTTTCCTCAACCCCAATGGTAGCCGAAAAGTGGACTTCTACAAGGCAGGCAAGAAGATCCACCACTATACCATGCCGTGGGGCTCAGGTGTCTCCATCTGCCCTGGGAGGTTCTTGGCCACCAATGAGATGAAGCTCTTTGTCCTGCTCATGGTCACATACTTTGACCTGGAGCTGGTGGACCCCAACACACCTGTGCCACCTGTGGATCCCCATCGATGGGGCTTTGGCACCACACAGCCCAGCCACGAGGTGCGCTTCCGCTACCGCCTGCGACCAACCAGCTGAGCTCTGCCACGGTGGCTGCAAGCCTGGCCTCAAGACCTCCCCTGGGGGTCTCTACCTCCTCTCGCCCCTCTGAAGCCCCACCCTTCCCTCAGGTTCTCTGGTATCTCCTACCTCTGTCCTGGTTGCCTTCCTTGCTCTCTGGCTTTCCTCTTGCTACGTGGTAGGCTTATCCGTCTCTCCTGAAAACACCATCTCTCAGAGTGGGTTCTGCAGAACCCTCCTCTCATGCAAAGTGCAGACAGAGGAAGGGAAAGTATCTGTGGGAAACTTAGTTTGGGAAATAATGTGTACCTTGACAAGTCCTGCAGTACGGAAACTGGTTATTGTAACACAGTGTCTTGCAAATGTTACCCTCCACTCTCCTACCTCACTTTATTGTTTTCCTCTATGCTTATTCCACATCCTGTGGAATTCAAGTTCATCCAAAGGAATACAAGGCAAGCCACGTGTGTAATTTTTAATTTCCTAGCTGACCCATTTTTTTAAAAAAAAAATAAAAGGAAACAGGCGAAGTTCATGTTTATAATATATTTAACTTAGACCAATATATCTAAAAGATTAGCATTTCAATATGTCATCAATATAAGAATAGTTGTGAAATATTTTTACAGTTCTCTTTTCTGTGTTGCCTGGAAATTCTGGTGTGTACTTTTTCCCCTAGCATCCTTTCTCACTTCAGACCAGGTGCATTCTAAGTGCTCAACAGCCATCTGGGGCTAGTGGCTCCCGAACTGGATAGAGCAGGTCTAGAGACATGTTGCCTTTCACATAGGAGTTATTCAAGGCCCCTCCTCAATGCCCTTGTCTCCCCTCCAAGCGCCCACCCCACGTCAACCGCTCCTCTGGTTTCTGCAACCACTGCTGAGCTTGGAACACGTTCCTACAATGCAGACCCTCAGCCTCCTTACCGGGGTCCCACAGCCCCTCTGACTCAGTTTGGCTCATGCAGAACTCAGCATCTGTTCCTCACCTCTGCCCTAAACCACCCCCTTCTCTGGATTTCTCTGCCTGTCTCTGCTCAGGACACCACCAGCTGCACTATCCCCCAAGACAGATATGGAGAAGACACCCTCACTTCCTCCCCTGCTCTCACCCGTTTGTAGTCAGGCCCCAGTCTGTTCCTTTAAGCCCGGGTGGTGCCTTTGAAACTGTCACGTTTTTCCCACCCCCACTGCCTTTCTTATAGCTCAGCACCCCGCATCTCCCCACACCAGGCATGCCGGGTCCTCTCTTTACCCTGACCTTTCTCCAAACCTTTCAACTCTGATTGTCACTCTTTCACTTTTCGGGCCCCCCATCCTTCCACACCTAACATTTAAATTTTGCCACCATCGATCCCTAAATTTTCAATCCAGTGCAATTTACGATCTATAAAGTACAGTTGCCTGCTTCTACAGCCAACCCCGGGGCTGGCTTCTCCTGGAAGTTTTCCTGGATCTCACCCCTTCCATCCTCTGGCCAGAAATGGACTCCATCCCCTGAGGCTACCCTAGCATAGTTTGTGTCATAGCACATCTGTTATGTGTCATTGCTTTCTATGTCCTGCTCTCTTTCTCTTTCCCCCTCCCCCAGACTGGAGCTCATAGGACTTGGTATCTTATTACTTCATCTCTGACCCCCAATTCCCTAAACAGAGATTAAATGACAGAAAATTGACTCAGTCTCAGCCACTTTACTTCTTGTCCTCAAATCATTTCCTTCCCCTCCCTGGCCTCACTCAGCTTTCTGGCATATGAAATGGAGACAATCTCATTACCAGGCATACTTTCCAGGGCTGGGGGTGAGTGAGAGGGTGTTGTTGCCAGAGCCCAGTTGGCTGATGGCATGGCCCAGACAGGAGGGGCAATGGCTGTGGAAGTGGGCATAGGGAGGCCAAATGGCATAGAACCCCTGCGAGGATGCCCAGTGGGGCTTCTCTCTTACTCACCTATCCCTCACCTATTACTATCCTCTTCTATTATATTGAGGCTGGTTGTCCTGCTCAGAGTTTTGCCAGGATAACAGGTTGTTAGAGCAGCTCAAACACGGGACTAGAGATAGGTGTCTGTCTCCACTTGCTATGTGACTCTGAGCCAGAGCCTGCCTTTCTGTGAATCTATTTACTCCAAAATGATGCTGTCTGACTGCAGCCAGGATATCCCACCCTATTCTACAAGGGGCCAGGAGCAAAAGAAAACTCACATGGGGAGTACAGAAGAGGAATAAGCAGACTGAGAGGCTAGGAGCCACCATGGGGAGCTTACCAATGACCTCTCCACATAGCCAGGCCCTGTACCAGAGCAGGTATTGGGTTCAGGGCAAAGATACAGGGCCTTGACATACTCCTGGGTCCTGCGCAGACCTAAGTGCTGCATCCTCTCATTTTACCCACGCTCAAAGAAATCTGGGCCAGGGGCCTAACCTGAGGGCCCAAATCCATTGAGTCAAGACCAAGAAGTCTCAACTGAGAGTGACTTCATGTAGATCTCCCAAGAACCTCATGTTTGAGGGTATGCCTGGGACCAAGGGAACCTTCAGTGGGTCAGGTTGAGGTGAATACAAGTATACCATCCCACAGTCATGGATATCCACCATAACAATGGGCCTCCCAGGAAGACATGACTACTCAGGGTTAGACTGTGCACACAGAAGCCAATGCCCACCTATGGGCAAGGGTGGGGCCCATGTCACCTGTAGTCCTATGCCCTCTGCATGGGGACAGGACACACTCTCTACAAGGGCTACCCTTTCTTACCTTCCAGGGGCCTTGAGGCAGTAGAAAGTGTGAAACCCCCAAGGATACAACTAGTCACTACATGTTCTGACACAGCAGTTCTGATCCCCAAATCCTCATTTCTGTACTAATTTTTTTCTCTCTCAAAGTCCACTATGTGTATTCTCTGAGGATAGCTAATAACAAAGCAAGATCAGGGATGACATGCCAATGGTGGAATTGCAGGAACCTGGGAAAGAAAAGAGGTTTTTGTTTTGGTTTGGTTTGGCTTTTCTTTTTTCATAGGTAGTAACAGCTGTAAACCTGAAACCATACTTCACAGGGTAGAGAGTGGGCAGCCCTGCTCCCAGGCAGAGCCATGCCTGTCCTTCTCCCAGGGTCAGCCAGGAGAAAAGTCCATCTTGCCTCAGGATATGAGGAACAAGAGAATCCTGGGAGCTTTCTTGGAAAGGTCTGAGCAGTGAAGCCAGGGAGCCAGGCATTTGGGCAGATGGAGAACAGCAGGAGAAACCAACGTCCAGGCTGAGGAAGTAAGGTCAGGATGAAGGCAGCCCTGGCCTGGCCTGGGCTGTGAGAGCCCACCTCTGAATTCACTTCCTGATCAGTGAGAAGTGATAGAAGTGAGAGCCCTCAATATGGCATCTGCAGTAAACGGCAACTAGGACACTGAGAGAGATCAATGGGTCATCTGTGGCAGCCCTTCTCTCCCTTGGGCATATGCTTTGGGGCCCTTCTTATATACCTGCTGTTTGCAGACAGCACATGCCCACACTTACACAGCTACAGAAAGACACATAGGAACACACAGAAAACCCATGGGCACATGCCCAGACCCATGTGGACACAGTGACATGTTCATGTCAGACCTACATACATAACCATATGTCCTATGCACAGCCCACAGAGCAAAACAGACACGTGTACACAGACTACACACACACACATGCACCAGTGCTGGGGACGAGCCTTACCAGGTGTGTCCCTTGGCTGGCATACCTCATGCCATTCCATCTGTGCATCATGGATACAAAGTCAGAGACCCTGGGTACCTAAGACCCTGTTGGTTCAGTCAGGCTGCTCTATGGGCAGAACTTAAGTCCCTTATGAGGCACATTTCAGAAGCCCTAAAATAGAACCCTATCCACCACATCCTCAAACAAATCACCACCTTCAGTGAGCAGGGCAGATGTTAACCACAGGGGACATGAAGAGGAAAGCACCCAGGCAGGACATATCAGCCAGGAATCCTTAGATTACAAGTTACAAAACATTACCACCTAAACTTTAAAGGAATATATTGGTTTATGTAACCGTCAAGTCCAGGACTGGGATGATCTTCAGCCATGCCTAGATTCTGGCCCTCAGGGTCTGCTCACTTACTGTGCTATTACCTCACCCTCTGAAGTTCAAGTTGATGAAGGAGGACCCCAGACTACACATCTTCTTGGCTTTAGTCTCATGCCTCTGCTCTAGCATATTTTAATTGCCACATTTCACAAGCTCTTCCTGGGTCCTGTGCCCATTCTAAATGAATCACTGTGCCAGGGAAAGGTAAGGCTGTAATTGGCTCAAGTCCTGTGCTCTACTCAACTTCTATCCAATGCAGAGGGCAGAGTGACCAAGGAGTGGCTTCCCAGAGCAAGTAGAATTCTGTTATAAAAAAAAGGATGAAGGGACAGGTGGCTGAAAAATGATCCCTGTTACACAAGAGAGTGGCAAGTGCAAAACATAAAGGTGCGAAGGTGCAAGAAACAAGGGGTTCCTGGTGTCCAGGAAATGAAAAGTAATGAAGGAGTATAAGAGTAAGCTGGTGTATGGTACTTGTGAAAGACCTTGGAGTCTGGACAAAGACCTTGGGCTTTGCATAGACCCCAGGGACCCCTGAAGGCTCCAGAGAGAGCATGGGAAGCAGAGAGAAGATGATCCTCTTGAACTGCTAGGAACATGTGTTCACTCTGCCACCCACCTGCTATCTCTCATGTTCCTGGAAAGTTCCCCATGTGGGGCACTTCCAGCCCCTCCCACTGGCCAGACCCTTGGAGCCACCATCAATGCTGTGACATTAAACAATATTGCAACAATATTTCCCCAGCTGAGCTCCAGGGAAGGGAGCAGACTGGTGGGTGGCAAGCCTTGGGCTACTCTGAGGATGATGGAAGTGACAGCTGAGGGGGATGTGATCATTCTGACTGGTGGATGTAGATTAGATGACAGGAGTGCATGACAGCAAGCATAGAGGTCAGTTGGGAAACTACTCTAGCAATTCACTCAAGAGAGTATGGTTTCCTAGAAGGCAATAAAGAAAGAGGAAGAAGGAGGCAGGAGTAAGCAAATGTCGCTTATGGTGGAGAACTGAGAGCTGACCATGGGGTGTGGCAACATGGTCTCTGAGGAGAGAGGAGTTTGGGTGGATGCCCAACTGAGTGAACTAGGTCCCAGACATTCCCACCAGACCATGGTATGGACACTCAGACTTAATTTTTTCCCATATCATTCTTGTTGGGGGAGTGTTCAGCCTGCCTCTCCCCAAGGTTATTCATGTTGGTCATTTCTTCTTGAGCAGTAATACTGCTACTCTCAGAACAGCTGGACAGCGGGGCCTGTGCAGGGCAAGGTGTCTGGTGCCGCCTGAGCACAGTGACGAGGAAAGCCTTCAGGTACTGGCGGAAGTGGCGGCTGGAGAAAGCATAAAGAATGGGGGTGAAGCAGCAGTGAAGGAAGGCAATGCTCTCTGTCACCTGCATTGCATAGTCCAGGTGTCGGGCAACCTTGCATTCCCCAAAGACTTGGAGGTCCAGCAGTGAGTGCAGAAACAAGGTGAGGTTGTATGGGAACCAGAGCACAAAGAACGCCACCACGAGGGCTACGACTATCCTTAGAGCCCGGCCCTGACCTGGGGGCCTCAGCCTGACCAGCACAGAGCCAATGCGGGAGTAGAAGAAGATCATGACAAGGAGTGGAAGAATAAACCCCAGGAAGTTCTGCTGGAAACGGAGGAAGAGCTTCCAGATGGTCGCATGACCCCCAAAATCTGCATAGCAGTTCCACACACCTATGGGGTTTTCATGTGTCCGCACAAAAACCATGTCGGGGATGGAGACAGCCAGGGCCATAGCCCATACCATGGCAGCCAGGAGCAGGCTTTTGGCCCGGGTTCTCAGCCTGTGGTGAGGCTGAGCATGGACGATCTCCAGGTATTTGTCCAGGCTCATGCAGCTAATGAAGAAGATGCCACTGTAGAAGTTGATGGTATAGAGGGTGCTCACCATCTTGCACAAGAAATTCCCAAAGACCCAATGCCAGGCCACGGAGATGCCCCAGAAAGGCAGTGTCACCACAAACAGGAGGTTGGAGATGGCCAGGTTCAGCAGATAGACTTCAGTCATCCGCCTGCGAGGTATATACCGAAGCAAGACCACTAGAAGAAGGAGGTTCCCGCCCAAACCCAGCACAAAGATCAGGCTGTAGAAGATTGGCAGGAAGATCCTGCCAAAGGCCAGCACTTCGTCCTTCCTGCAGAGCATGAAGGCTACCTGGTCCAGGTAATACTCATAGTCGTAGAAGGAGCTGCTGTTCTCAGAACTGGTGACCTCAGTGGTCGGCGGCAGAGGGGAGGCAGTGGGGGCCATGCTGGGAGGACACACTCAGTTCCGGAGCTCTGTGGACCACAGTACAGTGGAAAAGAAAAAAGATGAAACCAGACATTCTGTACCATTCTCCAAACCCACTTTTGCTACTGCTCTGGAGGGCCCAACAGACTCTTCACATCGACATCAGTACCTGTAGGCTATCAAGGAAGAGCACATGTGTGGGGACCCTAAGCCTACCACTTATAGCTGTCACCTGGATGGGTGGCTAACCTCAGGTGTTTTCATAGTATCACTTCTTTCATTATGGCTTCTCTTTATTTTCTCCTTCATCGTTTGAAAGAACTTATTATGTCTTTCAGAATTTTTCTTTATAATTTGGGGAATTCCAATTCAGCTGTGTATTGTGTCTCCACACTCTTCCTCATGTGTGCCTCCTAATTATTCTTCTTTGTGTGGCTTATGTTTTGTTTTTAACAAGCACTTCTCTTCAGTGGGACTTGTTTTATCCATAAATATCAAGTGTGTTCACTCTGACTTTCAATTTTCTTGACTTCTATCATCTAAGGATTTCCCTTGTTTTTGTTATTTTAAAAATGTTTTACTTATATTTAGCCTTACACCAATATTTTTGTTTATAAATATTTAATATTTTAAAAATATTTTTATCCAGGATATCTAGGTTTGGAGCAGAAAAGTGATCCATCATGCTGAGAGACTCAGCCGACTAAAACTCTCCATTCCTCAGTTACTCCATCTTTAAAATGATACTACTGCTAATAGTATCTACTTCATGGGGTTCTTCTGAAGCTTAAATGTGATCATTTGTTTAGAGGACTTCACACTCTATGAAGAGTGCCCAAAACATAGTAGGCACTCATAGAATGCTAGCTTAAATTATTGCTTTGTTGAAAACTGAGTCCATCATCTTCCCACCAGCAACTTCTCTCTTGCATCTACCTAACTGAATGGTACCACCAACTACCTAGTCACCTAGAACTGAAACGTGAGAGACATCCTCAGGTTCCTTTCTTACTCCCCCACCCCCACCTGGGAATCTCTACCTCCTTACTGCCATTTGAATATGTCCAACATTTCTAAGTCCTATAAAAATATATACATGATACTTGCTTAACAGAATTAAGACAAATGAAACAAAAATGCTTTGAAGGAGTTCAAAGCGATGAGAGGGAAAGCAGGGGAATGACAGGCATTTAAGATGCATTTAAGATGGTGGCTGCCTTGGCAGAAGCCAGAGGCATGGGATGAGGGCAGGTCACTGTCTGTGGTCAAGTTAGTTCCCTCTGGGGCAGTGGTTTTCCAGGTTTTAATTGTATTATTAAAAATGTTTTTTAAGAGAGAGCCTCACATGAAGCAGTGATAAGAATCTGCCATGAACCAAGGATTATGCTAATCCTGTTCTATGTTCCAGGAGAGAGACTTCATGTTCAACACATTAGAGTGTTCACCAGTGAAGAAGAGGGTTTTGGAGAAGAGAGTAGGGGGATCCCTGGGTGGCGCAGCGGTTTGGCGCCTGCCTTTGGCCAAGGGCGCGATCCTGGAGACCCAGGATCGAATCCCACATCGGGCTCCCGATGCATGGAGCCTGCTTCTGTCTCTGCGCCTCTCTCTCTCTCTCTCTCTCTCTCTCTCTATATATATATATATATATATATATATATATATATATATATATCATAAATAAATAAAAAAATTAAAAAAAAAAGAAGAGAGTAGGAGATAAAGAATATGTCACTCAAGGAGGCAATCATGCAACTACTCCAGAGTGGGGCCTATAGGCTGATGACAATGGTTCATAAACCAAGAAATATAAATCAAGCCCATTTTCCACCTCTGGGTTTTATTTTTTATTCTTTGATTCAAGTGAGATTGAACTTTTAATATGTTCAATGCTAGTTGTATTCTTCGGTGAATAATATGTTGTTTTAATGGATGGGATTCTCATTTTAAAAGAGATTATACATGGTAAGGATTTCACTTTTTTTAAAAAAAGATTTTATTTATTTATTCATGAGAGACACACAGAGAGAGAGAGGCAGAGACACAGGCAGAGGGAGAAGCAGGCTCCATGCAGGGAGCCCAATGTGGGATTCAATCTCCGGACTCCAGGATCATGCCCTGAGCCAAAGGCAGACAGACGCTCAACTGCTGAGCCACCCAGGCATCCCTAGGATTTCACTTTTTTACTTACATATATTGCAAAATTTTCCCCAGTCCTTCCTGGTAGAAGTTTTGTAATTTTTTTCCCTCAGGTAGAATTCTGAAAGAAATGTTGACTCAGCCCCTCAGGTGACCCTTCTAGTATCCATGACCCTGGGACCTCACAATGCCTCTGAGGCAGAATGTCACCCAGGGAAACCCCAGCGTCTTCCTAGTCATTGAGACTCTGCACCACCCTTGGGCTCCTATTAAATGGCATCTGCCAAATATTGGGGAAAATCACACACATGCCCTAACCCCACCTAGGAGCTCAGCATGGGCAGCTTTATTTAGGGCTGGGCTCCTGACTGACCTCAGGAACTTTGACCTGTGCTTTCCCTTCCTGGTCCTTCATTCCCCTCTTATGCATCTGGGGTCTCCTGTCCCTGAGCACCTCCTTTTCCTGGGTAGCAGTAAGGATGCTCCCAGCACATGGCTAATGTTGGGAGTCCATGAGCTACTGGGGTTGGGAGGAGGGAGTGCACTTCTGCACTTGGGCCTGATTAGGGATTATTAATCAGAACCTGTCACTAATTAAACACCGGCTCTTCTGGTCCAGCATTACTGACGTTGATCCTGACCTGGTTTCTCAAAGTCCCTGCTTTAACAAACAACCAAGTTTGATAATTGCTTTGATCAAAGCCAGAGGTCAGGGTCAGCAGGCTCCAGCCTGGCCCAGGTCACCTTTACAAGGCTCCTTCCACCCAGAACACTGTTCCCTTCCCTCTCAGGGCCTCTGGCCTCCTGACGTTTTACTCTGGGAATCTTTCCAGGTCATCCTGACCTCTGAAAGCACCAGCCCCTCCCATCACTCTCATCAGTAAGGCCAACAACAATGACAGCAGCAAGCAGCACCTCTATGTGCATGTGACAACTGGCCAGGCACCTTCACAGCCACTGTGGCCGTCCTGTAAGGCAACCAGGAAGAGACTATCAGCCCCATTTATTCCATGAAGAGAGCACTTTTCCACAATCACATGGCTGAGCTGTATCTGACTCCCAGGTTTTAGACTATAGGAACAGTGCCTTGCCCCTGGTCCCATCTCATCCCTGTCCTCTGTTTTGCCCTATCCAGCAATCACTAAAAGGATCCCACTGACAAAGGTGTGATTTGGATTCAGGAGGTCTTGAATGCCCAGGATATTGCCTACAGTGGCTGGTCTGGCCTCTGTAGATTCCACCACTAATGCCACCTCCCCCACCCCAAAGGCTTTATTGAGCCTACCTATGATCAGAATAATGGCCTCCCAACAATATCTACTGTAACCTATAAATATGTTACCTTCTGGGCCACCTGGGTGGCTTAGCGGTTGAGCGTCTGCCTTTGGCTCAGGGTGTGATCCTGGAGTCCTGGGATCAAGTCCCACATCGAGCTCCCTGCAGGAAGCCTACTTCTCCCTCTGCCTGTGTCTTTCATGAATAAATAAATACAATCTGCCTCTGTCTCTGCCTCTCTCTCTCTCTCTCTCTCTCTCTCTCTCATAAATACATTTTAAAAATCTTTAAATATGTTACTGGGCAGCCCTGGTGGCTCAGCAGGTTTAGCGCCACCTCCAGCCCAGGGCGTGATCCCGGAGACCCGGGATCGAGTCCCACCCACATCAGGCTCCCTGAATGGAGCCTGCTTCTCCCTCTGCCTGTGTCTCTGCCTCTCTCTCTCTCTCTGTGTCTCTATGAATAAATAAATAAAATGTTTTAAAAAAAAGATTAAAAAATATGTTACCTTCTATATCAAAAGAGATTTACAGATGTGACTAAGGCAGGCCCAGTGTAATCAGAAGGGTCTTTATATGAGAGAGGCAAGACTGTCCAAATCAGAGAAGGAGAATCAGGGTAGAAACAGAGGTCAGAGCAATTCAGTTACAAGACAAAGGATTCAAGCAGCCTCTAGAAGCTAGAAGAGGCAAGGAACAGAGTCTGTGCTGAGCCTCTAGAAGGAACCAAGCCCTGCTGACCCATCTCAGACTTCTGGCCCCTAGAACTTGAAGGTCATAAATTTGTGTTGTTTTAAGCCACTGAATTTGTTACAGTGGCAATAGGTTACCGTACACTACCTGTGACCCTCTGTGCCTCCAGAATTTCAGACTGAAGGAGTGAGAGAACATCACATCCACCTCCTTCAGCTGAAAGGCAGGGGAAACTAAGACTCAAGAAGGGGAACAACTTGTGCCAAGCACACAGTGAGTGGTCAGTGGCCACACTGAGCCATGAACCCCATGTTCCTGACTGCCTGCTCTTCAGGTCTTAGTAAACACCTACCTGTCCCTCTGGACTCACTCAGGTTTTTCTTTTTTATGTTCACTTTTCCTTATGCCCAAGTTCATTTGGCTTATCCAGCCATACCTTGAAAGGAATAAATGAGAGTATCAGTTATTTGCATGCTAGTATGAATTAGCAGTACAAAGTTATGCAGTGGAAACTTTGGGGGAATCTAGGGAACTGTATAGAGAGGGAGGATTTAAAGAAGAGGGAAAACAAGGGTGAGGTGAGCAGAGCTTCCTCTACAATGAAGCCAAGGGCACAAAGGCAAACTACAGCTTGTTTCTGGAGCAGTAACATCATCCTCTGTGACTTCCTGAGGCTGCTGGCCTGGCTTGGCTCTAGCTTTGACTCAGCAAGAATCTCTAGCTGGAGAGTAATGACCCCTCCTAAGGATCTAGAGTTCACCTTCCTAGGCCTCTCAGAGAAGTCACAGTTGAGGCAACAAGAGAGAGGATACTGCTGTATCCCTCTAGACAGAAAGGCAGCCACGTTAGTTGAGCTCCTGCCTTGAGCTGAACACCCAGGTGTGACTTTTCTCATTTAATCCTCACCATAGTCCTGGGAAGCAGTACTATCATGATTCCCATTTTCTAGATCAGGAAACTGAGGCTTGGAATGGGTGGAATCCAAATGTCCCCGTTTCAGATCAGCAAATGATGGACCCAGGATTGGAAATGGTCCCAACGATACAAGGTAGAATTGGTGACCCTCCCCTTTTCAGTATGGCCAAACCTGAGTTTGAAGGATGAGCCTCTGGTAGCAGGACGTCTGACCTTAATAACCAGTGTTAAGGTTTGATGTGCTGGAGCAGCTCCCACAGGCTTATGAGAGCCAGTTATGCAATATCTGGGAGGCATCCAACAAACAACCATGGAATTAACTAATTCCACATTGGGGGATGTTAAGCTGGTAGCTTGAAATTGGTCATGGTGGGGATATTTATACCATGGCAAATGCCACAAATTGGAGCTTCCTCTCCTTCTTGCATGTGCCCCCACCATCATCACTGAGAGCTGGTTATTAAACCTTTACTGGCATACCCCTGATCAAGACTCCACGAAACCTGACCAAACCTTCCCCTTTTCACTAGGTCCCTGTCTGTGTCTCTCATCACCTTTCCTCCTCTACCTGTCTTATCAGTCCTGTAGCTGCCTCCTCCCCAGCCAAGAGCTCTTGAGGATAGGGTCACGTGAGGTCCCCTCTCAGATGCCCATGGCACAGCCATACCGAGTGTGCTGCCCATGCTATAGCTCTGACTAGTGAACAAATAAACAAGATCAAATGTTACCTCAAAAAGCCATACTAGCTTTCAAAATGTAAAACCAAGAATAACATCTGAGATCACTTCTAATGAACGAAAATTAGGCTGGCTTCCTCACAATTTGGAAATCATATCTTGTAAAATGAAATATAAATTCTCCCTTCCCAGAAGCCGGCCTGGACACTAGCTTGGCATAACCCCTGCCCCAAACCCCAGCACTAACAGAGGGTCACTCCTCGGCCTTGGTACCTGCCTCCTTGAACAGAGTCACCTTTTGAGAATTGCTTGCCTCCTCGGCTAGAGAGGGGCTGGAATGCACTAGCACAGGGCTGGCATCTGAGGGGCATTCAACAAGTGACCATGGACTTAATCAGTACTGTAGCCACTCTTCATGTCTTTTCTTGCCTCACTTTTCCCTTGCCTGGTTTTCTGCCTCCTCCCATTGGTGCTCTGGACACAGCAGAGCCAAGACCCTCCTTCCGTGGGTCATTTCCCCAGCCTGGGCTAGCCCTGCAATGGTGGCCTTGGGAGCCTGTAGCCATGGAGCATGTCCAGCCCACTGCTTCCACTGAGCCATGTTCAAGTGCTGTCTCCAGCTGGCACAGCCTCCATGGACCAATGTTACAGGATGTGCCCTCTGACCACCCCCAGATTCCTCCCTCAGGAGTCTCCCCTAACTGCTCTGGGAGGATTAGGGTGGAGATGGAGTCTCAAGGCCTGGACTCCACCCTGGTTCAGCTTGGGATGGGCTCTCTCTGACTATAAATCTAGTTTTACCATTCTGGATTCCTGGCCTAGCTGTGGCTGGAAAAGTTGAAGCAAGGAGTTATGAAGTGACGCACTCTCTGACCACAGTGTCTGGCTGTGGAAAGTGCTCTGGCCTTGGGACACAGGTAGGAGAATACTTGCTTTTGGGTGACCCAGTAACAGTGTTGAGATCACTTTATTTTCTTCTCCCTGGGTTTGAGGAAACACCAGATGTTAAACTCTACTGTGTATATGACAGTTACAACAACAACAGTAACAAACGCCCACTACTTACATAGCACTTTCTGCTGAGTGAGGCTCTGTTCTGAGAACTTGGCAAGCATCCATTCATTTCATCCTTGCAATACCACCCTGATATGGGTGCTACTATATTTGATTTTACAGATGAGGAAAGTTAGTCACAGAGAGGCTAAGGAACTTGCCCAAGGCCACACAGCTAGCAAGTCGCAGAGCTGGGTTTGAATGCAGGCTGAGTCTGGGCTAGCTCATTAAAAGACAAGGGTGAAGAATGGAGGCTAGAAATTAAGAAGTGAAAGACCAGGCTGCCGTTGCTCAGGGTGCCTGAATGGAGACTAGCTGTGGGGCTGATGGTACATGAATGAAAGACAGGGAAAGGAACTGGGAGCCACACAAGGAGGACTGGAGGGAAGAAGTCTAGTGCCTTATAATGGTATACTCGGAGAGAACTCATCAACAGCCTACCTGGGGCAGAGCAGTGTCTGCTTCACTGGTTGGTTTGAGATGCCCTTGAGCTTGAACATTGGGCCCTGCCAGACCTAACACAAAGTCAAGGCTTCCATCCTAGAGCCCTTCACTTATACAAGCCTGTCTTCTTACCCATAAAGGAAATAGTACTTCCAGCAAAGAATTTTGTGAGGAGTAAATCTTGTACAATTATTTTAATAGCTACTGCCATAGAGCCCTGACAGTCCTGCCGGATGATAGGGCAAGAACCTTTACCTGTATTGATTTATTTAATCCTCACACTTACCTTATAGAAGTTATAGAAGTTAAATGCTATTATCAGCCCCACTTTATAGCTGAAAACACTAAAGCACAGAGAGATTAGGGAACTGGCCCAAGGTCACACAACAAATGAGTAGCAGTAGATCCAGGAATTGAAACCCAGAGTCCATGCTTATTTTATTTTATTTTATTTTATTTTATTTTATTTTATTTTATTTTAAGAGAGAAAGAGCAAGCGAGCACAGGGAAAGGGTCAGAAGGCAGAAGGAGAGGGAGAGGGAGAGAATCTCAAGCAGACTCCATGTTGAGTGTGGAGCCCAAAGTCAGGCTTGGTTCGATCTCAGGACCCTGAGATCATGACCTGAGCTGAAACCAAATGTCGGATGCTTAACCGACTGAGCCACCCAGGCACCCCTCCTAGAGTCCATGCTCTTAAACACTAAATTATACTGTCTCTCAAAGAAAATAAGCCAATTATATTCTCCCTCTGCCAAACTTTCTGTGTATTAATGTACTCAATGTTCACAACAACCTTGTGAGACAAGCACTATTATTATTCTCATTTTACAAATGAGGAACTGAAGCTCAGAGAGGGGGAGTAACTTGCCCAAGGACACTCAGCAAGTGTGCTGCTGGGCACCAGAGCCAGAGTGCTGAATCGTATGCTGGGAGCTCCACTGCTGGGAGCCCTAACCTCAGACTCCCGGAATGGACAGCTGCCCTCTTCATGGTCCACTACGGCAAGCCTTGCATTTGGATTCATTGTGATGTATAGAGTACAATGAAAACAATAGTAACTTACTTCCCCAGACCCTTATTGCCTGGACCGTGCAAATCCTCTTGGCTCCCTTCTTAGAGGCACTAGGTGCTACCTCTCTGTTTTCACAGGAAGCCCAGAGCCATGCTACAAGTCAGGCAGGGCTGACCTTAGAGCCCTGAATCTCTGAGCCCTGGACCATTGCACCCTCTCCTTCTCTCTTTACTTTTTTAACATGTATTTTTCCTGATTACAAAAATAATATATGCTCAATTTAAAATGCAGAAATACAAGAAAAAAATAGAAAAAGGGCTAATTGCCTCCAGGAATAATCTTTGGGAATGTTTTGGTATATCTTGCCTGGTCTCATGCCCAGAGCTCGTTCATTGCACTAAACCTCCCTCTGTGGAATCACAGAGCCTGGCTGGAAGTGACCTTGTCAGGTCCCTTGCAGAGCATGACTGCCTTTGAAGTTTCCTCCTGTTCCCTAGGAGATGTGAGGCCCGCCGGCTCCCCATGCTCCCTGGGACCCCACATTACTCAATGTTTCCTGGCTCTTATCAGGGAATGGGGATGTTTGTGACATTGATAAACTCACCAGGCAACCCCCTCCCAAAGCTTATTTCAGTTAATAAAAATGAAGTTGTTTTAGAGCCCAGCTCTTGAAGGAGCTGCTGCTACAGAAGGTATGATTTTCACGTCTTTCCTGAATCAATTTTGCTTTTTTTCTCCTTTGTCTCTCTCATTATTGTCTGAAATCTTACTACTAGGGCTCCTTGCATTTATATTTCAGCATTATGCTTGATTCAAAATGAAACACAGTCACCACGTCTGCTGCCCATGGGGAGGGTGGCATACTCACTAAGCACGGTGCAGCAGGGAAGAATAGACAGGATGCATTAGTCCACTTCTTAACGGCTGGGTCACCCTGGGCAAATTACTTAATCTCCCTGAGCCTTACCTATATGATGTCTCCTTCCTGGAGATTTTACAATAATTAAATGAATGCCTGGCACATAACTATCAATCCCCTTTCGGGCTCCAAAATAACACCTGGCTTAGCTGCAGATGGACAGGAGGAAATCCTGAGACTGTCTGGGGCAGGAGGAGAGGGCTGAGAACTTGGGCAGGAGTTAACAAGGGGGCATAAGGAGAGAGTGTGGACATGTGCAACCTCAGCCCTGGGAGGGGGGCTATAAAGACCATCTCATCTGTCTGAGCTGGGGAACCTGAGGCCCAGGGTTGGAAAGGGAATGCATGGGATCACACAGCCAACTCAGTTGTCTGATACCAACTATCAGGGACCTTCAGAATCCACAAAGCAGATTCCCAGAGCTGGAGTCAAGGGGGAAGGGCCAGCAAAGTGCCTACTCCCTGGCTGCTAAGGCAATTACTCCAAGAGAGAATGTTCCACCCTGACCGTTCCATACCTCCCTCTCCACATGCTGTGGCCACTCTCCAAACCACCGGATCCAGTCTCTCCCTGCAGCCCTTTGGGTAGGGCCCACCCCACTCCAACTGTGGCCATAACCTACCAGAGCCAGACCCACTTGCCTGGGGATGTCCAGCCTCACTGAGGAGAGAAGCAGCGCCTGGGTCCTTCTTCCTCAGAGAAGTGCAGAGAGAGTATGAATCTTCTCCCTCTCTGGATAGGGCTCTGCACACACCCTGTTTAAGGCTGGAACAAAAAGCATCCCTTTGCGCCTGACCCAGCCTATTTCCCTCCCTGGAACAGAGTCAAGCTCAACGACTGCCCTTCATTAAGGAGCACTCCCCCCACCCAAAGACAACCTACTGAGACTCCCGGAAACACGTGTCTCCAGCTGGCCAGTTCCCAGGCAGCTGGGCTAAGGGGTTGAACAGCTCCAGTCCAGACCTTCAGGCCTTTGCTAGGCAGCTTTCCCCAACCTCCATTCAGCTGCATTGATCTCAGACACCTCTCCAGCACAATCCTACCACCATCCTCGGCCATATCTCCCTTGGCCATGACTTCCACAAAGCACAGCTGTGTCTGCCTGCCCCAGAGTATCAGCAATATTCTTATCTCCTAGACTTTCCAAACCATCTTCCCTGTCCCCCATCCTTCTCCCTCTGCCATCCCCATCACAGCATGTATCTTTGCCTGTTTATTGGTCTGCTCTCCTACTGGGTTAGAACTCCCAGGGCAAGGACCATACTTGACCCACCAACCTGAGCCTAGGGCCAAGCAAGAGCAGAAACTGACTGAATGTGTGTGTGTGTGTGTGTGTGTGTGTGTGACATTCTTCCTGCCATATGCTTGCCAGTATGAGGGTGCCTCTCTGCCAGGAAAGTACCTGTGGTTCTGTGGTAATTTTTCAGCCACTGCTACCTCCAACCCCATTGCCAGCCTGATACCAGGCAGGTGTTGGTAAATGCCTGTTGTCTCTACCTGGATTAAGCAGTAACAGAATAATGCCAGATGGTCAGAGTCACTGGTATTGGAGTCAGACTCCAGTGCCAGACTTGAATCTGGCTCTGTGAGTACCTATGTCTGATCTAGAGTTGGTGGCTTCACTTCTCTGTGCCTTGGTGTTCAGATCTGTATTGGGGGTGGTGATGCTGCCTTTCTCAGACAGTCATGATGAGAACTAAATGTCCCCAGGGAGGTGGACACAGACTTAAACATTTGCCTTTCCCTGAGGTCCATAGGCTACGTAGGTCAAGCTGTGATGGGTTCTCACTCCAAAACATGGGAGCAGAGGACCTTCCATGTGAGTGGGTCTTTAAATCCAGGCCCAATGTTGGTTACCAATAGGGAGTATAAGGAATGGGTAGATGCCCAACAGAAGCTACAGAGCCCTGATTCCTTCCTGGGAATGGATAACCTTTTAAGATTGACTTGTTTTCAACCTGTTAGAATTATAACAGCTAAGTTCTGGAACCCAGGCTCCTTCCTCATCCCCACCCCCCTTGTTCAAACTCTACTTTAAAATAATTTTTAGACTTGCAAATATCGCACACAGAACTTCTATACACCTGTCAGCCAGCTTCCCCTAATGTTAATCACAGAACCACAGTATAATTATCTAAACCAAGAAATTAACATTGACACCATACCATTCTACAGACAGTATTCAAATGTCACCAAGTGTCTGACTAATGTCCTTTTTCTGGTCCAAGATCTGAAGCAGACTTCCACATTGTATTTGGTTGGTGTGGCTTCATTTCTGAGGCAATTCCTCAGTCTTGCTTTGTCTTTCATGACCTTGATAGTTTTGAAGAGGACTGTGGAAGCTCTCTAAATTTTGATTTGATGCTTCTTCAAGGTAAAATTACGGCTACGTATTTTAGGCAGGAACACCATAGAAGCGATGTGTCCTTTTCAGTGCATTTTACCAGAGGTACATGATTTCAATATGTCTAAATAATGGCAATGTTAACTTTAATCACCTAGTAAGATGGTATCTGCTGGGTTTTTCCACTGTGAAATTACTATTTATTCCTTTGTAATTAATAAGCATCTTGTAGGGAGGTACTTTGAGACTATGCAAATACTCATCAATTTTTGCCCTACTAAATCAAAATTCATTGATGATGCTTTCTGACAATTATTACTGTGTTATTTGCCAAATGGTGATTTTCTATTTCCATCATTCTTTTCTGTGTGTGTGTGTGCTCGTAAACTTTATTTACACCTCATTTTATTGCATCAGTCACATTTAAGTCCTGGAGATTTGTGTTTATATACAGAATCCAGTACATTCCTGATTGTTTTTCAAAAACTAAAACAAAACAGGATGCAATTAATATGGCAGTTGGGAAGCTTAATGAGCATCATGCTTCTGTGGGGGCTTGTCTGGGATTTTAGAGTGAACTGTATCCAAAGGCTGCCAGCGGCAACTCATGAGAGACTCATAGAGTTCCTCATTTTTCACAATAAATTCTTCGTTTCATTCCTCAAATCTCAGATGAAGATCTGGATCTTCCAGTGGGTCTTCATCTTGCTTTTCTGCCAGAGATGTACTTTCCTTAGGCATGACCAGAGTTGCAACTGGGTGCCTAGAGATCCCGTGCACAGAAAGGTTGCGTCCATTTTCATCTGCCACACAGTCATAGCCAGAAAGGGAGTAACCACTGTGCTTTTGCTCAAACCAGTTGCCTGAGTGCTAACCCTGGTAGGGCTGCATCTCAAGCTTTGCCCTTTTGCAGTGCCAGTAATAATTATTTTGTGGAGCTATGCCAAAACCTGCAAAACTCTCCTGCCTAGTAATTTATCCAGAAGCTTTACCAAATGAGACCAGTTTTTATGCCCATGTCAAAAATTCCAGCTCAGGTGGCCAAAAATCTCTTACCCCAGCAAATACCTCTCAGAACTTCCATCATTCTTTTTACATTTATTAATTGGACTTTACTATAAAAAAGAGTTGGTTCTTCTCTCAATTTATTTGCATATATTGGTAAGGACCTATGAGTATTAATTTTATTCCATTATTATCATCATTGATTTTGCTGTTCAAATGGTCTCATCCTCTTTCAAAATATCTCAGCCCATCTGTTTCCTGTTGAGCTGAATTTCCAGCCACAGCCCCCTCAAACACCTACTCCCTGGTGTGCAGGGCAGGTTGTGGAGGCTTAGAGGCCAGGTTTCTGGGGAATTCGCTGAGGCATTTTCCCAGCAAAGGCTGGATCCTCCTGGAATGGGCAGGTTCCAGCCAGAGGAAGTCAGTCATGGTTCCAGGGGTAGTTTCAGGAAGAGTTGAGTCTGGCCAGGTAGGCTCTGCTGTGATTCATCCTGCCCTCCATAGACCTACCCAAATCCTGACCCAGTAGCAGCACCAGCTGACCACTTCATTCATGCCCTGCGTTTTTTCTTCTTGACCCCCTCTTCTCTGCCCACCTGCAGGGAGAGTGGCTGAGAAGTGCAGATGGCAGACAGGGAGGCAGCACTTGCCCAAATCCTTTGATACAGAGGAAGCACTCTCCTCCTGGGGTTTAGTTACCAGCTGTTCTCCACCAGCCCCAAAAGCAGCCAAAGCAGAGACAGTAGTGCATTGCAGCAAGAGAAACTACTTGAGGACAAGATGGACAT